GACCAATGACTGCGGGAAATCAGGCTGGAGAGGAATTTTCATCAAATGAGAGCATCTGGGCCATAGCCTTAGGGTCCTGCTCTTCTTCAAGCTACCGATGTGCTGTGTCAGCAGTTCTGTCATCATCAATCTGATGGGCCAGGATGGGAAGGGCAGTCTGTGGACTGGGGCTGGGTCGAAAAGGATTCCTGTGAGCTGGAGGGTCCTTTAAACCCACTCCTAGGCCTGCCAGGGGGATTCAATCAAAGAGTGAAAAAGCCTTAAAACAGAGGATATTATCCCATCAAACGGAAATGAGTGATATTTAAAGTTCCTTGGAAAAGGACAGTGCTAGCATGATACATTTACAAGTCTTCTTTAAATGATGTGTCACTAAGGCATCCTCACCAGACTGTTATCTCTTAATGGAGTGCTTATGACCACGGAACTTTGAGAAGTCACCATTGCAACAAATTATTACCATTTCCTAGCATCACCCTAACTAGGATAATGAGGGCTTAGTGGGGTAATCTGGCAAGCTCTGGCAAGGAGAATTAGGATTAAAATTCTGCAATTTAAGGGAATTCAGGGATCATCTCATCTCACCCTCTCATGGAACATATGAAAAAACAGACTTTTGGAAAGAGGTGCTGACTTATCCAAAGATGACATGGCATGCTCATGCTTTACTCAGGCAAAAAGGGAAGAGCCACCTTCTCATTTATAGCCAGGAAAGCCACTCATTCTAGTGGTGGAGGCTTAGGGGGAAGAATGCAATTAGAAAAAGTCAATGGGTTTTGATTGGAAGGCTTCTCACAGGTGAGAGCACTAATCTTGTCCCTGAACTGGGGAACTTAGGCAATATTCAAGCTATAATTCCTGCAAGGTGTGATCTTCAGATGGACCAAGGAGAATGAGTGAGCTAGTGAGCTTCTGAGCTACCTTCAGCCCCACTTCTGTTTTCTATATCAAGCCTGCTAGAAGATTTGTTAGAAGGAAATGTTCACTGGGGAGAAAATATTTGAAAAACAACAATAACAACAACAACACGGGACTAGGGGGGTCTCCAGAGGGCCCCTGCGGCTTGACATTCTGTGAGATCTTGAGTCCAGTAGGGGAACTCTGCCTGGAATGTATGGGGAAGGCACACAGCCTGTCTCCACGGGGACAATGGTTGTCAGCCGACAGAGTGCAGTGTCCTGCCAGTAATGGACTGCTCAGACCCACGGCTGCTGGAACCTCTGTGGGGAGGCCAGTGCCAGTGCTGGGATGACATTCTGGAAGGAATTGGGCAGTGCATGCCCAAGCAAAGAAATATCTCATGCTCTCCCTGCCCAATATGTTAATCCTTTCTTCTAAAGGAATTGAAAAATGTGTTTAAATCAGAGATACAAGAACTGGAGGTCCCTTCAGGCAGGCAGCTCAGCCTCATGCAGACTGCTTCTTTACTATGCCCAGAGGTCACAAGTCTAATTTTGGAGCAGAGAGAGTGCTCAAAGATTGTACTGTCTACTCCAGATCATTTGAAAGTTAGTGGCAGATCTGCAACTGGAACAGACATTTCCTGAATCCCAGGGAGGAACCCAAGATCATGCTGCCCTTCCAAAGGGCCTAGTTCCATCTCCCTGGGCTTTCAGGAAGGTGTCTCACCACCCTGGATTGAAACCATCAATCAGTTTCCAAAATATCCTCCAGCCAGAAAGGCCAAGCTTTGGGTAGAAATGTATTGCAGTGTCCTTAATTCAGGGTCAGAAGATGTCTTCAGATTCTATTGTTTTCCTTGAAAAGTATCATGTTTTTCACTGCAAAATGTAGCTGATGTCACCTCCTTAATTTGCCTTGCCAGGGGGATGCAATTTATTTAGGGCAAAGGAATTAGTTAAATCCTCTGTTGTGTGTTTATTATCTTGATAAAGGAGTCCTAACAAGTCAGACTTGGCATCTGTCTGAAAAGAGGAGAACTTGCAAGAAATGATTACATATGAATTGAAATCAATTCTTGAGGTGGAGGTAGGAGGGGATGATGAAAATAAGTCATTGTTGATCCAGCAATCCCACTCCTGGGCATGTATCCAGAAGAAATTCTAATTAGAAAAGATACATGCACCTCAATATGCATAGTAGCACTATTTATAATAGCCAAGACATGGAAGCAACCTAAACATCCATCGACAGATGATTGGATAAAGAAGATGTAGTGTATATACATAATGGAATACTACTCAGCCATAAAAAAGAATGAAATAATGCCATTTGCAGAAACATGGATAGACCTGGAGATTATTAAACTAAGTGAAATAAGTCAGACAGAGAAAGACAAACATAATATGATATTATTTCTATGTGGAATCTAAAAAAATGACATGAAGGAACTTATTTACAAGACAGAAAGAGACTCACAGACAGAAAACAAACTTATGGTTACCAAAGGGGAAAGGGGTAAGAGGGATAAATTAGGAGTTTGGGACTAGCAGATGCTAACTACTATATACAAAATAGATAAACAACAAGGTCCTACTGTATAGCACAGGGAACTACATTCAATATCTTGTAACAACATATAATGAAAAAGAATATGAATAAGAATATATGTGTATGTGTAACCGAATCACTATGCTGTACACCAAAAACTAACACAACATTGTAAATCAATTATACTTCAATTAAAAAAATTAAAAAGAAAATAAGTCATTGTCACAGCTAAAGAAAAATTAATTGTAATTTTTGTGGTCTTGAGGTCTCAGCTACCAATAAAGGCAAGTGTTTCCACTGACAAAATTTCTAGATGGTTGACATGTTTAAAAGTAGAGAAAAAAGCAATTAGGAAGTTCATCTAGTCTTGTTTAAATCTATGGAACTTACTGCTGTATTAAGCCAATGTTTGGTCATTTTCCTTCTGCGAAGTTCACTTTCCAACCCAAATATTTGAGAATATCATGTTTTTATGGCCAGCATTAGCTGGGGGAATGGGCTGGGGGATTCTGCTAATCTAATGCCCCCTACCCAGAATGTATCTTCTCCTGGGGTTTGGTATCTTCTCCTGGGGTTTGGAAGATATAACTCACCTGTTTGAAAAAAATCTCCATTTAAGGTGATGAACACTTGGGGTCCCAGTGAACACTCCCTGCTTGATCCTTGTGACTCTGAGATGTTGGCTCCATTTTTAATGAATTTACAGAAACTATACATCAGTCTAGATGACCAACCCTCATCATTTCTTAGAGTTACCAACTCTACCTCTTCTCATTCTTTATCTGTCAGTCTTTTATTGTCATTACTCTTTTCCACCTTGTGCAATGGCTATTTTTATAGGCTCATCTCTCTTTTTAAGGGACTAGATCTTTAGTGTCCTTAAGTTCTCACAGTTCCTAGCACAGGACATTCAAAGAAAGGTAGCATTCCATAGAGCAATTGTTCTCAAATGGGGAGATTTTTGCACCTTTCAGGGATATTGGTAACTGCTGGAGACATTTTTGGTTGTCACAACTGGAGGGGAGGTGCCATTGGGATCTAGTGAGTAGAAACCAGAACACTGCTAAAAATCCTCTAATTCTCAAAACAGCTTTCTTCAGCAAAGAATTATCTGACTCAAAATGTTAATAGTACTGAAACTGAGAAACTGCCATGGAGCACCAATTTTAGAAAGTTTTTAGGTCCGAAACTGCTGTAAATGGGATACTTGATGCATACTCAACATCTATAATCAGTTAACACTCAACATTTAAAATGAGTTTAATCAGGGTAGGGGTTCACATTTCCACTCATTTGGCCTCTCCCCGTCCTCCATCCTGCAGTGGTCTTGTAAGTCCCTGCAGTATTCTGGGGCTGGTGGAATAGTTTTGAACAGCTTGGTAAAGCCAGAAAAGCACAGGTTTGAAAGTCACAAGACATGGGTTTGGAGTCTTAATCCATCATTTACTAGCTGTACAATCTCGGGTGCCCTGCTTCACCTTCTTGGATTTGTTTCTTTGCCTATAAATTGGATAGTAATACCTGCCTTATAGGATTGTTTCAAAGATTGAATGAACTTATATGTGTAAAAGCACCTTGCAAACACACTACATTGTTGTTAATCAAACATTCTGGTTAATATAACATTAACTCTTGTTGAATTACTGGCTTTAAAAACACGAGACTATATTAATACCAAAAATATAGAAAATCTACTCTAAAGTGATTTGATGAAAGCCTCTTTGAGGAAGCCAGAGAGGATTTGGAGAGTAGGTTCTCAGGTCTCCACATCCTTTTGAACCAGATACAACCTTAATAAACTTGATCTCTCAGAAGGACTCCAAGCTTTCTAGCCCCACTTTTAAAGGAGAATAGCTTCCCATCCATGGCATTGTTTATGGGTTCTCCCTAAATTCCAGAACATGTTGTTTTGATGTTGTAATCATTTCCTGATCCTTTTTCATTTGTTTTTCACATCCACCTCTGATAGTGACCCCCACCCTTGCCCATACCCTTTGCTGATAAAATCCAAACTCTAGCATCTTCAAGACCCTTCAGAATCTCACCCCAATCCAACCTTCCAAATTCACCTCCTACTGTCCCCTACTGCATACCCCATATTTTCCAGACACTTGATCATTGCCTAGAGAACTGGGCAATGCTTTCTAATGCTTCAGCTTTGGATATAATGATAGCTTACTCTGATTAATGCTTATTCTGGGGTCTCTGCCCTTTTCTGCCTTATTGAATTAAAGATGACATTGGAGCAGTGGTTAGTGGAAACATTAAAGACTTCGAGAACAGAAAGGAAAAGGGAAGGTTGTGTCTGGCTGAGCCACACTTTGTCAGCCTCAGTTTCCTCAAGGTACTTTCTAGGTCTTAGCTACTCAGCCTGCACCTAGCATACCACCCCCAACCTCCATTCCTCATGTTGTAACACTGTATGTCTCCCTCACTAGACTGCCAGCCTGGGAAGTTAAAACAGCATCTAATTCATCCAGGCTCCTCTAACTCTCAGCAGATTCTCTAGTAGAGAACCTGGCCCAGTTGGGGACTACCAGGGGTCTCACCTTCACATAGTCATATTCACATAGGTAGGAGGATTCCAAGTTGAAGTGCATGAAGTAAAGCTTGATCCGAAATCCCTCTGGGACAGTGATATTCCAAGTCACCTCCGAATCACTTGGATAGGAGTCTGGATAGCCAGGCGACTGGATCTGGCCAAACATATTGTTAAGCTCCACGATGTGGGCCGAAGCCTTCAACAAGGAGAAGCACAGAGCATGACAGAGAAGGAGCCACCTGAAAAACATACATAGATTCACTCACATTCATGGACACAGGTCTTTGCCATTTAACTAAATCAACAGCTGAGAGACCAAGTTCCCAGCATATCTGTGCCACTGACCTGCTGCAGGGACTTCCCTTGCGCTGGGCCTTGCTTACCCAGGCTATAATACTGGAAGGTGCTAACTCAATTTCTTTCTTTCTTTTTTTTTATATTTCACTTTCTCAATTCATTGTTTCCATAGTTAGTATCCATTCACAGAGTCTTAGAACAATTTTAAAACATTCCTCACAGAGGGATCAATTCCAGTATTCTTGATAGAAGATTATTCAGGTTCAGCTTGAGCTGTTCTAATGATATAGTTAACTACTTCAAAAGTTACCTTATTTATTGCACAGCTCAGGATACCATCAACAAAACAAAAAGACAATCTACAGAATGGGAGAAAATATTTGCAAAATATGACTGACAAGAGACTAATTTTCAAAATAAACAAACAACTCATACACCTTAATATCAAAGAAACAAGCAACCCAATCCAAAAAATGGGCAGAAGACCTAAACAAGCAATTCTCCAATGAAGACATACAAATGACCAATAGGCACATGAAAAATGCTCAGCATCACTAATTGTCAGAGAAACGCAGATCAAAACTACAATGAGGTATCTCTTCACACCAGCCAGAATGGCCATCATTGAAAAGTCTATAAATGATAACTGCTGAAGAGGGTGTGGAAAAAAGGGAACCCTCCTACACTGTTGGTGGAAGTGCAGATTGGTGCAGCTACTATGGAGGACAGCATAGAGGTCCCTTAAAAAACTGAACATAGACTTACCACATGATCCAGCAATCCCACTCCTGGCCATATATCCAGAGATAAATAAAATTCAAAAAGACACATGCACCCTGATATTCATAGCAGCACTGTTTATGATAGCCAAGACATAGAAACAACACTGATGTCCATCAACAGATGACTGGATAAATAAGATGTGGTACATATATACAATGGAACACTATTCAGCCATAAAAAAGAATAAAATAATGCCATTTGCAGCAATATGGATGGCCCTGAAGATTGTCATTCTAAGTGAAGTGAACCAGAAAGAGAAAGAAAAATGCCATATGACATCATTTATATGAAGAATTTAAATAATAATAATAATAATGACACAAATGAACTAATTATTATTTTGATTTCTTAAATATGTGTAAGCACATTTGACTGTCCTTTATGATTGGATTACCGCATTCTGTGGATTCTTATTTCGTAGTTGGCTGTATTCCTTTGATAACTACGTAAGTTTAAAAAGCTAAAGATCTAATCTGTTCTTAGAAACAATAATTAGTACATACATGAAAACTAAAAAAATGTGCAGTATACTGTGTATATGTATTTACATGCAATATCATGTGTATGTGCAGTTGAACTATAATAATGCTACATAATAAAACTGGAAAAGGGGAAAAAAGTAAAAAAAAACATAACTGAGTTGATGGGTATATCAATTAATTTAATTATGGAAATTCCTTCACAATGTATGTATATATTGTGTTACCATGTTGTATACTTGAAATATATTACAAATTTTGTCAATTTTGCCTCAGTAAGTCTGGAAAAATTCATGTTCATGAATATTTCTGTTTTATCTGTAATGAAAAAACAAAACAGTAAACAATACCTATGTCCATCAACAAGTGAATTTAAAAAAAAGTTACCTTATTTATATCCTTGGAAAACTATATTATAAGACTGAAGTAAATTCTATCTTTGAAGCTTACATCTAGTATGGTATAGTTCTTTGGAATCATGTAGACCTGAGCCTTTTATTTTTAGCTGTATAATCCTAAAAGTTAACTAATCTCTCTGGCCATCAGTTTCCTCATCAGTAACCGCACTCAAGATCGGTATTATATAACATAATATATGTAAGTTGACCTAACATAGCACTGAACATCAGGCACTCAAATGGTAGCTATATTCTGGTTTTGTTTTTTGAAATATCATAGTCTATTCCTCACCTCCTAAAATAGATTATTTAAATTTTTGAAATGACCTATTGTGTTTCCCTGCTTAAAACTTTTCATCTCAGTTCTTTAAACCTTGTCTTCTGTGACAGCATCTAAATCAGCATTGTCCAACAAAACTTTCTATGATGATGGAAATATTTTATATCTGACTGACAGTGTGTGCTAACTCAATTTCTGAAGTTTCTTCCAGTTGTGCTCTTTTAAAGATTTGAAAATAGTATTAAACTTGCCGAGAAAATACCATACTTGGGACTCTAATGCATATCATTTTCCTGTTGAAAAATGTAAATTTCATAATTAGGTGGAAGTTGACATCATTTCTTCATCTCAGCTTCATTTAAGAATCATAAACTCTTGATTCAGTTTTCTAAAAAGTAAGCCATAGTAACACGATACTATAGAGATGAGACTTACACTTGGTGATGGGATCTGTAGTACCCATCACCATCTGTAGTATGGATTAACAAAAACAATCCAGATATGTAAACTTTTGAATTAAGAAGGAATGGGCAAAACAAGTTTTTTGTTTTTACTCTTGGTAAAAAAGATAGGTGATCTTATAAAAGGATCAAAACCCTACAGTTTATTTCCAGCTGTAGGAATCAGAGATAATGGGCTGTTAAGAGTTGCATAAGGGGCAAGGAAAATTCAATAAAACTTACAGAACACACCCAAAGTGGCTGATGCAATAATGAGGCAGAATGTCCAAGGCTGGTCAAAACCCTAATGATCAATATACACCATACAAGGCATCAAATAGATTGCTCCCACAGCAAGACCCAAGGACTTTGAACTCAAATGTCCCAAACCTGGCTCATCAGCTTCTTCCCTAAATCCTATTTGTTCTGCTTCTTGTGTTTTGGAAATCCACTGCTCCTCTCCAGTCCATTCATTTAAATTTTCTTATCTGAACTATTGCTATTGCATCCTGATTGATCTCCCTGGCCCCATACCATTCAGCCATCTTCTGCCAAGGTTGATTTTCTAAAACACAGATGTGCCCACACTGCTCCACCGCACGTGCAGGGTAAAGCATCTGCTGCAGGGAAGGCTGAGGAGCCCTTTTTGATTTAGTGCGGACCTGCCCATCCAGCTTCATCTCTGTGCAGCCACACTCTGGCATATCATTCTGGGAGAACGCCATGCCCGTCCAGGCCTTGGTCCCATTATGCATGCCCTGCTCGTTTCTCACCTGGTTGTCTTAATTATCCTCCACCATCCAGCTCAAAGATTTCCAGGATATCTGGGGTATCCTTCACTCCTCCAGATCCCAGCCCCCGTGCATGCTTCCAGTCAGAGCACGTATCACACTGCACTGCTTTAGGCACAGCCCCTGAAGTTAGATGTATTTGGGTTCAAATCCCAATTCTTCTACTTACTGGCTGTGAAATCTTAGTAATTAGTCTCTGAGCTCCCATTTCCTTGTATGTAAAATGAAGATAATAATCTTTAATTTACAGGCCTCTCATGAACATTAGAGACGATGTATGTAGAAGACCTAATATAGAGCCTACACAGAGAGTATATAATAGATGATGAATAAATGAACAAACCACGGAAGTGGGGCCAGACTCTTATACAGCCTGAAAAAGTAACCTCCGGGAAATTATACTAGCATCTTCAGATTAATAGTTATAGTTTGGCCAATCAGGAAGTTTTTTCTCCCCAACCTGCTCCACTCCTCCCAGTAAACAGATGCAATGTAAATGTATATATGCACACAGGTGATTTTTTGAGTGTGTAAACACAATGAGATAATTACATAGATAAATTACCTGGCTGTCTTATATAATATTTTCATAAAAGTTTAATACATAAGTGCAAAAGGCCTAGAAGGATATCAGTGGGGTATTAACAGTGTTTATCTCTGACATGGTAATATGAGGGTTTTTAACTTTATTTTTGTGTATATAAATTGTTTAAATGTGTCTAGAAGGACTTCGTGCTATTTTTTCAATTAAAAAAATGTTATTTAAAAAATTTCCAAGGTCCCTACAATAGCAACTTGTGAGGTGCAACTAAGGAAACAAAATGTTTTAATCCAATTGCCAGGGTCAATATTTTTTTAAACCAATCTGTGGAGGGAGGGCCTCCAAGGCAGAGAGAAGGGAAGGCATAGGTCCAAGCTCTCCCATGAACTAGTAGGAAAGCTGGGTCTAGAAATTTTTCCTTGTGGGACCCAGGGCAGCCCCATTTTCAAGTGAGGAGATATACCAAGGGTATATCTGGGGATTCTGGTTCAGTTTTGCTTCAGGAGGGGAGAGCACTGGTCTTAGGTTGGAAGAGCTGGATTCAAGGCCAAGCTTTGACTTTATTTATCCAACCCATTTGGGAAGTCATGTGAGGTCTCTGTCTCAGTTTCTTCATCCACTAACTGGTGATAATAATGACACCCCCAGGGCTGCCATCAAAGTAAAGGAGGACTGGAAAGTAAGTACTTTGTTAACTGTCCAGCTCTAGGCACAAACATTAGTTCTGATTACTCCATCCGGCTATTTCCCGAAAAGCAGGGGTTAGGAATGAGCTTTGGCTCCCAAACAGGACTTCCCTGCAACAGCGACACCCAGCTTATGAAAGGTCAGCTTTCTCCATGTCTGCTTTTTCCAGACCACATGGAGGAGATGCTGAGCTTCCTCATGCTGGTTCCATCAGGTGCTGGCCCCGGCTGATGGCCCCATCTATCCTCTGAGGCCTAGGACCATGTGTAGTAGGCAACTGGTCAGCGTGGGAGGAAGGCCTGTGAAGCTTTCTGTTCGATTTTGTTTGCATCTCAAAACAGTTTCGAACATATGAAATGAATCTCTCCTTTCAGATAATAAGCCTGAGCATATGTTTGCTTGCTTGCTTTCGGGGCTGCAAATCAAAGGATGTAAGTGGCGGCTTTCATTTCCCATCACACTTTCTGAATGTTTTTGGCTTCTTATCCACCAGGCACCGGCTGTACAAATTCTAACACCTGCTATCTATTCTCCAACTAATCAGAAAGTTAAGTTACATTTGCTTGAAATGTCAGAAGTAACCTATAAAGCTAGGATTTCATGCATTCTACTGTAGGAGCAGAATCTTAGGAATGCATAAAAATGCTGGCCTATATCAACGATTGTGGAATGAGCAGCAATTTCTATTTCACTTTTCACAATTTCTATTTCTTTCCACTCACTCCTCACTTCCACCTACACTACGTCAAGGCTGTTTAGGGGTAGAAGAGTTGAAAAGGACTGTACAGATCTCTTTGACAACATCCTTATTAGACAGATGACGAAAAGGATACCCCAAGAGGTGATGTGTCATGTCCAGTGCCATATGGTGAATTAGCTTCAGCAGAAGAAGGGAATAACAAAAGCTCACAGAGGAAGCTGGGTCCATGCCCATATCATGCCCAGGCATCTGGCCAAAGCAATTAATCTTGTGAAAAATAATTCAAAAACCCATGGCTTTATGTGGAAATTAAAAACAAAAAAACAAACAAAAAAAACCCCAAACTAATACCAAAGCTCCTCCCAAACAGATTTTAGTTTAATTGGTTTGGAGTGAGGCCTGGTCATTGTAATTTTTTAAAGCACCATAGGTGGTTCTAATGTGTAGCTAGGATCAAGAGCCACTGGTGTAGAATAACATCCTTGGTTGAGGGTCTGGCAGAAAACAGTAGAAAAAACCCTGAACTTGGAGCCCAAAGATCCAAGTATGGGTCTGGGCTTTTTCGAGATCATTGGTGTGGCTCTGGGCAATTTGTTTAACTCTTTTATCCTCATTTCTCCATAAATACTTCACTCATTCGAAATTTCAAGCCCAGATGAAACTCATGCATAGCATGCATGGAGTCCTGGGTTCAATCCCCAGTACCTCCATTAACAAAAAACAATAACAACAAAAAACTCCAAATCTGAAGTCCTGTGTCCATGCGAGGCAAGACTTTTTAGAGGCTTCTAGTGGAGCACTTTTCCAGTAGAAGTTCTGCTATTGAACAACTGAATTCAATTCAGCCAATGTTTATTGAATACCTAACAGGAAAACAGACATTATGTTAGGTGCTGGGCATACAAAGATGAACAAGACATAGGTCCTGTTCCTTAAGGAACATCCAGTCCTGGAAGAGGAGGTGGACATTTTAACAAGGAGATATTACAAAGATAAGAAGAGGTGTAGCTCCCAAGCACAGAGACAGCACAAAGAAGATGCTTAGAAGATGTCTGAGCTGGCTTGAACAATCGGGTCCTCTAGGTGGAAATAAGAGGGAGAGCTATTCTGGGTTAAAGGATGAGCAAACACAAGGACACAGAAGTGATCACTAGCCCTGTAGTATGGTATGGCTGGGGCACTGGGTGTCAGGGTGGGATTCGAATGGTGGACAGATTAATCAAATTTGTCATTTAATGTAGATGGGCATAAATCTCATCTCTTTTAGGAGAAAGGAAAATGGAGTTAGATGGCAGGTTTAAAATTACAGTGGATTTAAAAAGAACAGAATGATTGGATTAACCTTAAAGACCCGATTATCTCATTGAACCACAGGTAATCTGAGTTCAGAGTTATCACAGGCTGAAGCCCCTCATTGCCCCTAGACCCAGAAAAGTTGCTAGGTGACTTTGCAGAAGAGAAACAAATAGAAACCCTTTTCCAACTGAGAAGAAAATAAATGGGAAAAGAGGTGTTAAGGGACTTAACATATCTGCAGAGTGTTTTTGTTTTTTGTATTTTTAATATCATTAGCACTTTTAAGTAGCCAAAATAATTATGGTGGTTGGATTTTGGGACTTGCAGAGGAAAACTTATAAGGAATGTCTGGTAACAAGGATCAAGTAATTCTAAGTATAGGCTGAGGAATATGAAATGCTGAAGAGCTTGGAAACAATTAGAATTTAAGGTCCTAGGTTGAGAACTCCAAAGAATTTCTTTCTCCAATTTGTAATATCCCTTTAAGAGCCACTTGGTGCAATTCATAGCCTGATTCATGCCACTAGCAGCCTCTGATTTCAGTGAGAAATGTAGATATTTGTAGGGGATTATAAAATGGGGACAGGTTTTTAGTTTTCTAAATTGAGCTTTTAAATAGCAAACTTCAGAAGGTTTAAGAAACCACAGAGCTGAGCTGTGGGAAGCTGGTTTCTTCCGGTCAGAACAAATAAACACACAAACACATATCTAACTCACAAAGTGTTGGAAGAGCTAAACCAATGCTTTTTGCACAGGAGAACAAAAACTCAGCCGTGTGGGCAACAGGAGGAAAGTCACACTGGCCAGCAGGCAGCACCCTGTGCTGCCAGAGAGAGAAATCCGAGCTCCGGCGGCGTCTGGTGGTATTTACACACAGCCTCCCGTTTCAAGTTGCATGTCTCCGGAGTCCCAGGGAAGGCCCCAGCCTGAGTCTCCCTTCTCAGAGCCCCAAGGATTGATGAGAAGCCCTTGCACCACCCACAGGACTCGCAGGTGAGTCTGCCTGTAGACAAGGTCAGACCCTCCAGGGCAACTTGACACCTGGTCCCTGAAGGGACCCCCGTGCCCACTCTGCCCTGGCACTCACCTCATTTTCCTGTCTTGGGTGCTCCTGGCTGCCTGGTCCCCCCGGCCTGACTTGTCTGCGAGCTCGTCCCCGGTGTGGTGTCAGCGATGCCTTATCTTTGTTCTGAGGTCCCTGTGTGTCTCTGGAATTGGCTGGCATTCTCCATTCAGGTCACGCCTTCCTCTGCCTGCAACAGATCCCCTCTCCCCCTCTCTCCCTCTGCCTTTTCCTCTCTCTCTCTCTCCTCTGACTTGCTCTTACACACACTCAGAGGAACCTGACAGAACAGAATCTGTCTTCTTCCTTAAAAGATATGTTCCTCCAGCTCCCTCCTTCACCCCTTGTGGCTGCTTCCAGCCCCTGAGAGAGAATAACTGAGCGTCTCAAATAAGGTATTTGTATCATCATGGTGTGTGTGTGTGTGTGTGTGTGTGTGTGTGCGCGCGTGCGTGTGTGTGGAGGGTGGAGAGGGACAAAGTCTGATTTCTCTTTGGTTTCCCTTGCCAGATGGCTATAGTTCTCTGGTTTTCTTCGGGACCCTGGCAAAAGGACACCAATTAAATGGGGACAACCAACTAAGAAGGCAATTCTAACATCTGCACTACACTAGGAAAGGAAAAAGATCCAAATCCCAAAGCTTGTCTGTCTGCAAACAACTACAGGTTTTCCTGTGAACAGAGCGGCTGGCCCGGCATGTGAGAGGCAGCCAGCCCTGCAGTTGGCTAGTCATTCTTTGCCACTTAAAAGCCAGGCTTGTGCTGTTTACCAACTCAGAGTGTGCAGAGGCCTGATACAGCCTGGAGAGGACCCACCGCAGCCAGAAAGCCCCGCATCCCATGGCTGTGGAGGGACCTCGGCCTGTACACATGCCTACACCCAGGGTTTGTGGAGAAACGCAGCACCTGATCTAAACCGAGCTAAATAAGAAGAAAATTCCTTTCCCCACAACAATGACCGCCAGTCCCGAATAGGGAGAGAGACGTCTAGGTGTAAAAAATACATCTGAGAACTTTTTCTGTGTTAGACACAGTTCTAGGTGCAAACGTCAACTCAATTACTCCCACAAATTTGGGAGCGCCATACTCACTTTACAAATGAGAAAACTGAGGCTCAGAGGTTACCCAATTCGACAAGATTATCCAGCCCTTTATTACTCCTTACTGCTACTATGGCTAACAGTAAACATTCACTGAGCACTCTGTGTCACGTACTGTTCTAGTAAGGTATTAATTCCTTTCAATCATCTTTACATTTTGTGTAGCTGGGTAGTAATATTATCCCTATTTTCCAGATGAAGAAACTGCCCAGAGAGTTTAAGTAAGTTACCTAAGATCACACTGCTAGAAAGTGAAGGGGGAAGAATCTGAGTTCTTAAACCAATATATTGTACTGCTTCTCACTAACATATTATAGTGCATATGGCATTTCAAACACACACCACATTCAGAGAGAGACTCAATTTGAAAAGAGTACTAGACTCAGAGTCAGAATTTAGGTGTAATCTTTCCTTTCTATCCAAGCAGGCTGTGTACTTTGAGTCCAATAGTTAACATACCTGATCTTGTTTCTTCATCTGGAAAATCAGGGTTTCTATAAGACCTAATTGAGATTATCTTTGTGCTTTTTTAGCTGTTCAGTGTATCCAAGAGAGGGCTCCCACCCTTACTAACCAAAGTGGCAAACACACGCACTCTCCACCTTCTGCTAACACTGCTTTGGCACATTTGGGGGAACAGTGGCTTGAATCTCGTTAAAATTCTCCTTGTTCCATAGTTTTCTCTAGTTTCTCTTATTTCAACACTTTTAAAGATCAGCTGTGCTCAGCTGGGCATTATTAAGAGGCTGTGATTGACAATGTCGGTGTAAGTTCATGAGAGGAGAGAGTATGTTTGAACCTAGGTACTGTTTGAGCAAAATATTGCTTTCTGTTTTAGGCAGAATAGAAAAAAATCCCTTTAAAAGTCCCATTAAGAAGACTTTCAGGCTCCTCAGCCATCAAATAACTCCCAAACAACAACATTTTAATGATTTAAGTGCAAATGAATCAGAAACACATGGACTACATTTCTCTTGGAATATACATGAGTTTTAAAACCAAGGGAGAAAGAACTTGGCACGAAGAACCCTGCACTGTGCAGAGGACCCTGCCCACTAAAGACATACCCTTCACTAACGCTGCAGCTGAGCTGGCCCTCTCCTAATCTAGGGCACATCCAGGGAAATGGAGTTATTTGTTCTGGGCACAGAGGGAAGAGCTTGGGAGGGAAAACCATCAGCTTCTCCTTGTAAAGTGACATAGAGCAACTGAGCCTCCCAGAATAATTTCCTGGCCATGTTTTTTTAAGGCTGCCAATGCTCAATGGGAGGCATCTGAAATATGTTCTAAGCCAGAAGTCTGCCAATATACAGCAGATCTGATATGTGTTTTCCTGGGATTTAGCCAAGGCTCAGATGGAATCTGCAAGAAAATGGGAGCTACGTGGCTCAGGACTGATCTGAGTGGGATGCAGGGCGGTTTCCCATCGTCTTGGGCTACACTGCTGATTTTGTCCTGGCCTTTTGATAAAAACTTCCTAATGTGTCATGAATAGATCATAGGGAGTGGGAGGAATGGAAGGGACAGTAGTCTGGGAGTAGACTCAGCATCGGTAGGCCAACTCATATGTGACCTTGGGCAAGTCATTTACTTTCTCTGCTGGAGGAGGGGCATCAGCTTGCTCCACTGTAAAATCAGGAGCATGGACTCCACTGAGATCATGCAGCACAGATAAAGTGGGTGTGAGGGCTGTGGAATGACATTGCAGTGGAGAAGGTTAGGTGAACTGTTACTGACCTAAAAAGAGAGTCAAGGAGTCCAGAGTAGCCTTCTAATCTTGACACTTGCTTTATCTGTGGTCGCAACAGCATTACACTACTCAGGATGCAATCACGGGCATTTAGAAAAATAATTTTTAAGAAGATTCAATTAGGTTTTAAAAATGTTGACAAAAAGGTTAACTGACATACGCCTATAAAGAGCTAATAGTATGTCAGTTAGATTCATGAAAGTGTACGATGACAGATGTGGGCTCAGCATCTCCAGTTTATAATCAGGGAAGGGGAACAGAAAGCTACTACGAGGAGAGTAAATATTCAGCATTCCTACGGCTGGAACTGAGGCGGGTTTCCATGTTCTACCAAAGTATTTACTGTTTGCAGCTCCTGAGCGGAGGCTTTCTGGAATTCCATGAATGTGTCAGAAAATGTAAAATATTTGGGCAAAGAGTTTTTGTTGGCAAAGTTAGAAATCAAGGCTTCCTATAGAATATATAATAAACTGATAAATCCCAAAGATCACACCTCAGAATTAAATTTTGGGTTATTCAGCACTTTGACTGCATGCTTAAAACCTTGGCTTCAGAAACTATCAGGTCAACAGAATAATATGGGAAATAATAAAAAAAAAAAACCCCAATGCCTGAGCTTCATCTCAGAAGATTCAAATTGAATGAATCTGGGGTGGAGCTCCTAAATCTGTAACTTTAAAATCTCCCATGGCACAATTTTGAAATTTTGGGTACATATAACATAATGGTATATCTTATAGTTGATGGCATCTCAGAACTATTCTTAATATCCACCAGATACACTTTCATATACATTATTTCCAAGTAATATTTGCGTCTGTTTACAGATGAGGACTCTGAAGTCCAGAGAGACAAGTGTGCCAGCACAAGGATGACTGACATCCAGAGTCCAGGCCTCCTGACCCTAAATCCAGGACTGTCCCCCTCATTTGCAGACTCCTGATCCTGCCTGTGGACTTTGAGCATCCATGAGCCATGCTATAATGTGACTAAAAGATTTCAAGGAAGGGAGAAATAAGTTACATTTAAAAAAATAAATTGAGTGGGAAGGGATAAACTGGGAGTTCGAGATATGCAGATACTGACTGGTATATATAAAATAGATAAACAAGTTTATACTGTATAAGCATAGGGAAATATATTCAATATCTTGTAGTAGCTTATGGTGAAACAGAATATGAAAATGAATATATGCATATTCATGTATGACTGAATCACTGTGCCGTACACCAGGAATTGACACAACATTGTAAACTGACTATACCTCAATAAAAAAATTTAAAAAAGAAAAGTAAATTATTAGCCTCTATTATGGGCTGAATTGTGTCCCTCCAACCTTCATATATTGAAGCCCTCATCCCCAGTACCTCAGAATGTGACTATTTGGAGACAGGACCTTTAAAGGGGTGATTAAGTTAAAAGGAAGTTATTAGGGTGGGCCCTAATCCATTATGACTGCTGTCCTTGTAAGAGGAGGAGATTAAGATACAGACAACACAGAGGAAAGACCGTATGAGGAGACAGCAAGAAGGAGGTCACCTGTGAGCCAAAGAGAAAGGCCTCAAAAGAACAACCTTGACCTTGTACTTCCTTAAAACACCTGCCAACACCTTGATCCTGAACATCTAGTCTCCCAGACTGAGAAAATCCATTTCTGCTGTTTAAGCTACCTGGTCTGTGGTGCTCTGCTATGGTGGCCCTACAAATGAATACAGGCTCTCTTACTGACGTTCTCCCAAAGCATCTGCACATACCACGGGTGGTGTCAAGCTGACTTCAGGCACCATATGCACAGAATTAAGAAATACTGAGTCAGTCAAGGTTCTGTTTGGTAGGTAATAACAGAAACCTTGACTAATGCTGAAACAGACTTTATTTTCATACCAAGAGGTGAGGCAGTAGGTAGGTCTGGGGACATTTTCCTTTTTTTTCCTGTTTTGCCAGTCTTAAGAGGGGCAATGTGTAAGGAAAAAAATCCTGGGGTTTTTAAGTATTTGAGACATAGACCATATGTTATGGGCTGAATTAATCCCCCTCAAATTTATATGTTGAAGTCTTAATTCCCAGTATCTCAAAATATGACTATATTTGAAGACAGGAGCTTTAAAGAGGTGATTAAGTTAAAATGGGGCTGTCAGAGTGGCCCTAATCTAATTATAGGAAGAAGAGCTTAGAACACAGACAACAGAGACAGAGGGAAGACATCGTGGGGACACAGTAAGAAGGCAGCCATCTGCAAGCTCAGGAGAGGGGTCTCAAAGGAAACCAAACCTGCCAACACCTCAATCTTATACTTCTAGTCTCAGAACTGTGAGGAAATAAATTTCTACTACTTAAGTGGGCCAGTCTGGGGTATTTTGTTATGGCAGCTCCAGGAAGCTAATGGAAGCTAATCCACCATCACACCTCCCTAACCTTTGCTCACCTAAACCCATTTGATACTGACTATAGTTGCTATTCACTCGTATTAGGTCTCCCCTCCCCCAGAAGGAGATGCTAAGACTGCATGGACCAAGCAGTTACAACCACAGGACAAGACTCATTAGGCCATAAGCAGCAAATCGACGGC